CCCCAAAACCCCAAAACCCCAAAACCCCAAAACCCCAAAACCCCAAAACCCCAATTTAGAACTTTATAATTAATCCATAAATAATATTATTAAATATAAAATGCTAGCCAATCACTGCAGAAGAGCAATCTATAATAATGTCAGAAGAAGCTTCTCATCCCTTGTGGTCGCAGAGCAATTTGAAGGGAAGCTTGCAGACAACGTCACTAATGTAGTAGGAGCCGCCTCCCAATTTGGAGAGGATGTTCATGTTTTACTTCATGGAAAAGATCCTGAATCTCAGTTAGATGGGTTGTCAAAGATTTCAGGAATCAGCAAAGTCATTTTGGCGAAACATGATGATCTTGAAAACCCAACAGCAACTGATTTGGCAAATGTGGCCCAAAAGGCTTTAACTGATGGAGGATATAAGAGATTATTAACCCCTTCCACTAATTTTGGCAAAGATTTCTTGCCAAGAATTGCAGGAAAAATAGATTCTCAGCCAATTACAGATGTGATTAAAATTGAATCAGAGAATGTATTCCAAAGACCAGTCTATTCAGGAAACTTGGTGAGCACTGTTGAATCTAGTGATGATATTAAGCTGATAACAGTCAGATCGACAAACTTCGATACAAGCCCAGAGGGAGAACTCAGTGCTCCTACTGAACACCTCGATGTTTCTGACTGTGTTGGAACCTCAGGATATACATATGAATTTGTAGAGAATATTGTCGAAAAGTAAGTCAGGCTTATCCAAGGTTATAGGAGCGACCGACCAGAACTCACCTCAGCCAGCGTTGTTGTGTCAGGTGGAAGAGGAATGAAGAATGGAGAAAATTTCTCAATGCTTTATGAACTTGCTGATGTACTAGGAGATGGTGCTGTAGGAGCCTCAAGAGCAGCAGTTGATGCAGGATTTGTCCCAAATGAACTTCAGGTTGGGCAAACTGGAAAAGTAGTTGCTCCCAATCTTTACATCGCTGTTGGAATTTCAGGAGCAATTCAGCATCTTGCTGGTATGAAAGATTCAAAGACTATTGTTGCTATCAATAAGGATCCTGAAGCTCCTATCTTTGAGATTGCTTCATATGGTCTTGTAGGAGACTTATTCACAGTAGTCCCAGAACTCACAAAGAAGCTCCAGAAATAAATAGTATCAACTTAATTCTCTAAATATGGGGTTTTGGGGTTTTGGGGTTTTGGGGTTTTGGGGTTTTGGGG